GCCGCCGCCCCCTCTCCCGCGAACGGCTAGAGGAGGCCCGGCACGCTCCCGCCGGCCGGCCGTGCCGCGGAGAGAGTGGGTGGGCAGGCAAGGGAGGGGAAGGGAGAGGAAGCAGGGAGGGGAGGGAGAGGGCGAGGCGCGCTCCCGAGGCGGGGGCGCGCTCTCGCGCGGGCTGCCGGGATCGCTCGCCGCCGCTGTGGTAATGTCCGCCATGTTGGCCATGGCGCAGGGAGCGGATCGGGCGGGCGAGCGGCGGATCTAGAGTGTGGAAGCGGCCGCGGGCGGCGGGGGGCTGTTTTCGGGCGGGGTGGGCGCCCATGCTGTGGCCGGGGGCAGTGAGGAGGAGGAGGAGGAGCGGGCCGGCCGCGCTGCACTGAGGAAGGAGGTGGAGGAGGCGGCGGGAGTGCTCCCCCCCTCCCCGCCCGCCCCGCCGCCGCCGCCCGGGCTGTTCCTGTAAGGCGGGGAGACAATGAGTAAACTCTCCTTCCGAGCGCGGGCGCTGGACGCCGCCAAACCGCTGCCTATCTACCGCGGCAAGGACATGCCTGATCTCAACGACTGCGTCTCCATCAACCGGGCCGTGCCCCAGATGCCCACCGGGATGGAGAAGGAGGAGGAATCGGTAGGGACTCGAGTGTTTATTACCCCCCCCTTCCCTCCTCCCCCCTCCCCTTTGTCAGTCGGGCCTTGCCATTCACAGAGCGCTTTACGCTCGCTGGAGGGCGCCACTGCCGCTCGAACGCACGGGACTCTACGCTGGCGGAGTAGCGTAAACCCTCTCGGCCGGCGCAGCGCCCGCCCGCAGCCGCCATGTTGTTGCGTCCCAGTGTTGTGATTAGCTCGCTGCGCCGCTTACGCTGCCGTAAGGGGGCCTTGCCGTAATCAGCGACCGGGAATGGCGCAGGGAATGTGCTGGCCGTAATTGGCGTACGGCCTCTGTTTACCTTTTTTTTTTTTTCTTTTAAATTAACCATTTCTCCTGTGCGGGGTTGAGGAACAGAGAAGGCCCCCGTGGGTTCGGAAGTACTTTTCCTTCCATTTTTAAAAGGGGGCTTGCAGTAGGTTCCCTTTGAAATGACTTAGGGAAAGTAAAAGGCTTTCCAACCAAACGTCTCCCAGCGAGGTACGAGTCGCCGCTTCGCAGCGGGAGAGGGTGCACCGGGAGGAGGCGGCGCCGCCGGGGGAGGCCGCGACTGCCGCCCGGGACTTAGCCGGGGAGCGCGATCGGACCGGACGCGGGCTGCGAGGCTGGCGGGCCGGCTGCCTCTGCCTGCCTGTCTGTCTGTCTGTCTGACCGGGCGGACTCCCGCTCGGTGCGCAGCGTTAGGACGGAGCCGCGGTGCTCCGGACGAGCCGTCCGCTCCACGCTGCCCCGCGCTGCGCCCCGGTATTTGGTGTTGGAAGGCGGTCTCTCAGAAGTTCAGGACCCAGTGCATCCAAGCGGACAGTTGCGTTTTTGATAATAAAGTCGCTTTGGGGGGGGGAAGATGGTGTCCCCCCTCCCCATAAATGAACATTTGCGTAATGTTGCACTTCGTTTGACAGAACCAGGTTTTACGTAATGCAGCCTCGCGTTTCATTTGGCAGTGTCTGTGGATGCTTGTGGTGGTGTTACTTGCTGGTGAAGTTCATAGTAACTGCACTCTCGAATTTCTTCAATGAACCTCCAGTCCCGCCTTATTGTCAACCTCGGGCGTGTGAGGATTGGTTCTCTGGCTTCTGTGACTGTCAAAAGAAAGCCCGAGGTTTCTGTGATTGGGTTTCTCTTTTGACTATTAATATTGCAGGAAATGCATTTAAGCTTTTGATTGGCTGCTCGGGTTCTGACCTCATTATGTTACCCAGTTATTAGTACTTTCTACTGCGATTTCATCGTTATGTTCTTGGGTGTTGATTACCTGAAAGGCGTAACATTTTCAGAAGATAAATATGACAGTAGCCATCAGGATGAACATTAAATTAAAAAATAATAGTATTGGAACCCAGCATTTATGCCTAATTTTTGGAGCCAATCGTATTTGAGAATTTCTTAGCTTCTGTTTCACAAAAGCTGATTTTACAAAAGCTTTTTCACAAAATTTGATTTTAAGGTAACTTATTTTCCCACAGATTTTAAAAAAATAATAGTGTCTACAAGAATTCATTGAATTATTTGAATTTTAAGAATATATTTAGAAATTCCTTTCGTGTTTTTTATCACTCCCCTTCCAATAGAAAGGTAGCTTAATGAATCACAAAAGTATCGATATTGTATGCAATTAAGTGTATCCTGTTATTTTAGAACTGGAGTCAAGAGCCATTTTCTAAAATGAAGACTTAACCCCTGGAAGATATATTGTGGGTTTATTTTTTGCAATCAGCACTGGGCCCTGAGTTTACCACATGTTTTAAGTATTTTAATTTTAATTTAGGTTTACTTGTTTTTTTTGGTCCGGTCGTGGGGCTTGAACTCGGCCTGGGTGCTGCCCCTCAGCTCTTCAGCTCAAGGCTAGTGCTCTACCACCTGAGCCACAGCACCACTTCCGGCTTTTTTTTTCTTTTTGCTTATGTGGTGCTGAGGAATCGAACCCAGGGCCTCATGCATGCAAGGCAAGCACTCTACCACTGAGCCACCTTCCCAGCCCTTAGGTTTACTTTTGTGTCATAATAGTGCCTGGCAAGTTCAAAACTCTTGAGTTCAAACCCAGTACTATCCAGAAAAAAGTAGCTAAAAATGAATTATAAGCCTTGTAATAATATTAACTTTTTCAACAAAACTTGTAACTTCAGGGGTAGAAAGTAAATGCTAAGCTTGTCTCTGTTCACTAGCCTGCTAGCTTCACTTGTCCAGTTTGGGGGGAAGAAAAAAAAAATCTGATAAAGCTAGTGGAAATTCAGGACCTCTCAATTTCACCTTTTCCCCCTCCCCCCTTTTTTGTGCCTGTCCTGGAGCTTGAACTCAGGGCCTGGGTGCTGTCCCTGAGCTGCTTTTACTCAAGGTTTTACCAACAACTTGAGCCACAGCTCCACTCTGGCTTTTTTTTTTTTTCTTTTTCTTCTTCTTCTTCTTTTGGTAGTTTAAGTCTCACAGATTTTTCCTGCCCTGGTTGGGTTCAAGTTACAATCCTCAGATCTCAGCCCAGCTATGATTACAGGCATAAGCCACTGATGCTCAGCTCTTTTGAGTAATATTTTTTGCTTTTTCAGTGCTGTGAGTGGAGGTCCTTAAAGCCAAGCAAATGCTATTTGTAATATTTATAATGTCTTTTGCTTCCCAGAAGGTTCAGTTGAGGTGCTAGATTGTTCTTTTCATTTTTTACAAAAAAAATATTATGTGTGTGTATGTATCAGAAGACTGGTATTTTCATCAGTGACAGCCAGCCAGTTCACTTCCTCTAATCTTTTATTTACAGGAATTTTGTTAGCAATACAATGCTTTCTCTCTTTCTCTCTCTGTATATGTGTGTGTATATAGTATATATTTTTAAGTATGCCTTGATAATGATGCGCACCATCATGTCTAATTGGACTTAAAATATTAATTGGTGATTAAAAACGGCTCTTACTATTTGAAAAAATATTTCATTTTGACGAGTACAAGTATAGTTTCACTCAGCTTCCACTTCCATCTCCTCCATCAAGGCAGTCTCCTCTGTGTCACTATGGAACTGTTATTTGAATTTTGTGTAGTTATTGACTCAATTTTAAATTACCTTTTTTTTGGGGGGGGTCCGGTCATGGGGCCTGAACTCTGGGTCTGGGCGCTGTCCCTCAGCTCTTCAGCTCAAGGCTAGCGCTCTACCACTTGAGCCACAGCACCACTTCCCGCTTTTTTCTTTTTGCTTATGTGATGCTGAGGAATCAAACCCAGGGCCTCAGGCATGCAAGGCAAGTGCTCTACCACTGAGCCAACTTCCCAGCCCCTTCTAGAAGTGCCAAGATGAGGTAATTTTTAGCTTCGATAGCATGTTAATAACCAGATCATTCTCAGCTATTTCTATTCTTTTGGACATACAGCTTTTTTTTTTGTTCCAGTCCTGGAGCTTGAACTCAGGGCTTGGGTGCTGTCCTTGAGCTTTTGTGCTCAAGGTGAGTGCTGTACCACTTTTATCCACAATTCTACTTTAGGCTTTCTTTTTTCTGTTGTTGTTGTTTTAATTGGAGATAAGAGTCTCACAGGTCTCCCTACCTGGGTTAGCTTTGAACTCTGATCCTCAGATCTCTGCCTCTTGACTAGCTAGGATTACAGGCATGAACTACCAGCTCCAGGCTATACAAACATTAAAAACAAAACAAAACAAAACTCTCTTCCTGTCTGTTCATTGTCTTTTAAGATCCACGAATTGGCATTCTCCTGTAACTTGCTGTCTATAGTGTTGCTCATGTACTTGGCTTATGTCATATACTTTATTTAGAATCTAAGCCAGAAGAATTAGGCAATCTGACATCGCTTCATGAGTATTGTATAGTGTTACTGTTCTTAATATCTATTATTTATTGAATACTTATGTCTCAGGTCTGTTGTATATTTTACTTAATCTTTTTGTTTTAAATTAGCTTTCTGGTATAATTTTACATATTATAATATATACACGTTTACCTCAAGGGTTTGATGAGTCTTGACATGTATACACCAAAGATGAGGAACCTTTTCAATGTTGTGCTTCCATATAGCTAGTACCTCTATCTTTAGTTTGAAGCAACCACTGATTTGCTTTCTTTCATGTGCTATTAGTCTTGCCTTTTGTAGAATTTCATGTAAGTGGAAGCATACATAATTGTATCCAGCTTCTTTTGCTTAACTTGTTACATATATCAGTCTGTACTTTTTTTTTCTGAAGAGTGTTTTAGTGTATTGATACATAGTATATTTATTCTTATGTCTAATGTTGGCTATTTGAGTTGTTTCCAGTTTTTGGTTAATATTTAATCATAGTAATAACAAGCCTATGAGGTGCTGTAGTTTTACATTTTATAGTTGAGGAAACTGAAAGGTCTTACTGCTGATAATTGGCAGGGCTAGAATTCATACCCTGGCCTTTGATGTTACAAAAGCTTATTCTCATAATCACCATTCTTCATGCTCAGGATTCTTTTTTTTTCAATTTTTTTATTGTGATTAAGTGGTTACATAATTTCCCAAATTTCACAGTATTGTGGGATAGTGATGCTCAGTTAAAATCACAAACACATTCTAACTTTCCTGGAGCAAATTGTCTATCACGGTCTATAACATTTATGAGTTCTATGAGCTTTGCGATACAGTTATTTCTTCCTCATTGGGTGATAATGTACATTTCTTTTGTTTTGCATAGCATCAGCTGTTCCCTCTTTCCCACTTGTTCCCTCCCACCCATCACTGCCATTGAGTTGCTTAGTTCATTTTGGTCAATGTCCAGTGCTGCTGATGGGTCCCCCTGTTACATGTTTTTCCCTGATTCCCTCTAGTTCTGTGTCGTCTTCCTGGTTCCCCTCTGGTGTGCACATATATACCATACATGTGATCAGCAGCGTCGGGTTATTTAGTAGTGATTCGACCAGATGAGTGGAAGTCCTTTGTTTCTTAAGTCCTGCTTTGTCGTATCACCTAACATTTTGGATTTAACATCCACTTATCAGGGAGACCATGTACTGTTTGTCTCT